ACTAACCGCCGTTTCATCAGCATTTTAATGGCATGCCAAGAGATGGATTTTTAAATTTATATCAATAAGTCTATTATTAACGATTATTGTTATTTTCTCGGGGACTTGAAATGGATTATATTGCAAGTAATGCTGCTCATGAAAAGATTCATCGAGGCAGTGCCTACTAGCGCAAAATAACATGAAAAAATTAAAAGGTTTATAAACAAGCACGTCCATGCACCAGACAAAACTTTATGCAAACCCATTTCCACGTTACATATCCCATTAATAAATTTGTTTTTTGCTATTGTTGTTGTTGTTTTTTTTTTTTTTTTTTTTTTTTTTTTTTTTTGGGGGGGGGGGAAGGGGGGCCAGCCTCATTGTTGGTACCGTCCAGTGACCATTTGCACTGTGCGTATTGTCAACAGATCATGAAACTGGCGTATAGCAGTTGAGGAGTATCAAAGAAAATCACCGCACCACGCGATAACTGTATTTAATCTTCTTTAATCTTTTTTTTAAAGTTTATCACTAACTTTCTTACAGCATATCATAACAAATTCAAACACGCTTCACATTACTCCCCTATTAAGCAGACAGTGCAGTCGAGTGAATAATTATTAATTAATTAATGCATGGTCGCATAAAAAGGGAAAGATTGCAGTACGCACGACGTCAACAAGTCAAAATAAGCAAGACCTTCCCACCATATCTACGTATTTTAAAAACCTTTCGTATGCAGAATGTCTTATATCTCTTTCTATATGGATGCTATGTTATTCAAGCTCATCTCGTGAAAATGTGTCTATTTCGGATAATAGTATGTATTACAGAATGATACACAATAGAATAAATTCTAGATTGTCGTATGAAAGTAATGCGTAATTATGTTGCTATTTCTTTTATGTTATGCACATATGAATCTCTTCAACACATCTGGAGCTCAAATGCAATTTTGAGCAGCGATTCCCTTGTATGTAGCCAAATCTCAATAAATATTTAAACCAGTATTTGTTTGAATGTTTAGCATCGACCTGTAGTGAGATTTTGTAAATTCTCTGTTTTTTGAGTCCGTTTAGTAACATTTTTTCTTCATTCATATTGCATGTTTGACACACCAGAACTCACGACAGAAAGAATATCTCAATGAAGACTGCATAGAAATCCAAAACAACAAGGGGTAATATAGAGGAGAGTCAGGAGGGTAGAATCACATTTCGATTTTCTTAAAAAAATGATTGAATTTTATGTAAATGTTTAAAAAGATGAAAACTTACCATGCGATCGGCCTATTTTTCCAGTCACATCTGGTGTTATGCTTCACATCTGGTGCAGCGGAAATTCACATATCATTTTTACCGATGCTCATTTTTGAGATTCATATGAAGAAAGCTTTCGATGTTGTATATAGAAATGGTTTATGGTTAAAGTTATTAGAATCAGGTGCTTCTACAAAATTTGTTAAAATGTTGCAAAAAATGTATGAAAATGTGAAAAGTTGTGTACGTGTTAATGGTATGTGTTCTGAAAGTTTTGATAGTGTCAAAGGTGTTAAACAAGGCGAGCCTTTATCGCCTTTATTATTTCTGTTTTTCATAAATGATATGTATCAATGTATTCTTGATGACACAATAGATTCGTTTTGTTTAGAGGAACTGAAAGTTTTCTTATTACTTTTTGCGGACGACACTGTGTTAATGTCATATTCTTCTGAAGGGCTTCAACGATTGTTAAATAATTTACTTGTGTATTGTAACAAATGGGGTATAACAGTTAACATTGATAAAACAGTTGCTATGGTTTTTAAAAAGGGAAATTATCCAGAACATTTTGAAGTATTTTATAACAATTGTAAGCTCAATATTGTACGTACTTTTACATATTTAGGTGTAACGTTATCTTCTAACGGATGTTTTTATCAAGCTCAGAAATCATTATCACAACAAGCACAAAGAGCATTGTATTTCTCTTAATTCATTATTCGATGTTGTATCTTTCAATATTTCTGAAAAGAACTCTTTGATTCGATGGTTTGCTCTATTTTGAATTATGGTTGTGAAGTGTGGGGTTTTCATAAGGCACCAGATATTGAAAAGGTTCGCATGAAATTTTTAAAACAAACTTTACAAGTACGAACACAAACATCAAATGTTACATTATATGGTGAATTTGGAAGACTTCCACTATATTTTATGCGTAAGATAAGAATGATTAAATATTGGTTTAAGATAATGTCAAACACAGATTCTCTTATGTATAAAGTATTTATGAAGCATGATTTTAATGGTAATCCAGTAAATAAATGGTCTAAAAATGTTAAGAACATTCTAGATGAAACAGGTTTTTCCTACCTATGGAATAATTCATTTGTAACAAATTTACAGATTTAATGTGTTATTAGATCAATCTATGATCAGTATATTCAACAGTTTTATTCTGAACTTCGTAACTCACCAAAACTAGAAACATATTGTTTAATAAAAACAGATTTTTGTACAGAGAAATATTTTTCAAGTATCACTAATACAAATCACAGAATTGCATTTTCTAGGCTAAGATGTTCCGCTCACAATCTACTTATTGAAGAGGGAAGGCATAGAAATATTGAAAGAAGACTTAGAATATGTACAAAATGTAATATGAGTAGTATTGAAAACGAATATCATTTTTTACTAGTTTGCCCTTTTTATAGAGAAATACGAAACGCATGTTTGCCGAAATATTATTGTCATTGGCCTAATTTGAACAAATTTAAAACTTTATTATCTAGTACTCAGAGTAGCATTTTAAACAAAACCTCAAGATATATATATTTAGCTAATGTTAAAAGAAATATGTAATGACCATATTGCATTTTTTCATCATTTTTTAAAATGAGTTTGTAATTATTGTTATAGCTTGTTAACAAATTCCTGCATTGTGTTGATATTGTAAAATAATACAAAAGAATTAAATAAGACTAATGTCATTTATTGACTAATCAATTATTAAATGTATGTATTATCTACAACTGTAACTTTATAATAACATACTTTTCTCAATTGTACATTATATTTGCCATACAGTTGTGTATTGGCGATGAACATTGTATATGTTTATGCCAAATAAATATTGAAATTGAAATATGGGGTTCCATCCCCGTGCGAGGGTTATATTGCAAACAACCGGTTATTTGAAGGCGCGGCGATGTCTAAACTTCACACCTGGTATAGGCATCAAAGACGGTAAAACTTGGTTAAACGATTATGACAATTAGCAAATAAGTATTAACCTTTGATTAAGTCTTTTAAAGCTCAAACTAACATTCATAGGTAAGTAAATTCTTATTAAAAAGATATGCTGTTTTGAGGAGATTTTGTTGTTCGTGGCATGGCAAGAGTGTCTCAAATTTAACGTTTATGTAACTATTACTGTGGAAAAAAAATGAATAATATAAATACTTATTTGAAGCTTATGTTTAGCTCGAATTACCAATCAAACGTTCAATTATCAGTTATCTATGCCATGTGTATGCGCAGGTTACTACAAAGAGTAACACAACTTCTACTATTAATAGTAACGCAACGCAAGTCATTATAACCGATAACGAAGTCAAGTAATTCCATGAATTTAAAGGACATCCCTTTTGACAACGTGGCAAGCAACTCATCAAATAGTCCGTTTGGGTAGTCTTCAAAGAAATAAAGTTTCATTTGAAGATCAAACATTGTTTGATTTTCAAATTATTAATTTAACAGCCAAATTATTAATTTAACAGGCACGTGATTGTTCTAGAACAAAATGTCACCATTCATCTTATAAAATGTTCATACTAATGTATTTTTTATCGCATGGTTTGGAAATTTCCTTTGTTCTTTTACTAACCCATTATACTCAGTACACTTCAATGAGCATATGACTGGGCATTAGCTGGGGCGATATCTCGGGATGTTTCTGCAAAAAATTTTCTCGGCCTAACGGCCTCGCCATTTTTAGCAGAAACATCCCTTGATGTCGCCCCAGCCAGTGTTATATCCTCGTAACTAACTCGTTTCATGTACTATAACTATTACTTCTTCAAGAAATATTTCATAAGAACATCCAGCTGGTGTGTGATAAATATGGAAAATGTGCTTATTATAAACCGAAGGAATCCTCTTTAATTATGACGCTTTTAAAAAAAATGATCTGGCCCAGTTTAAAGTACCCCATATTTCCCTTTAACGGACACAATTATTTGTTTAACAGTAACTGTTGTTTGTTTTTTTTAGTGGCCCGACAATATATGCTCATTTACGTCTAACTTGGACACGTACGTGTCTTATACAGTCAGCTGCTTTGTATCATTTTTAATATTGTCATTGTAATTGTCATTTATATTGTTGTTGATTTATATTGATGTTCATTTACATAATGTGTATTGTTGTGCATTAATATTGTTGTTCAATTGTTGTTCATTGATATTGTTGTTCATTGATACGGTGTTCATTAATATTGTTGTTCATTTATGTTGTTGTTCATTTATATTGTCCATATGCTCGTTATTATTTCCATGGAATTGGTTCGAAATGATTTAATCAGAGACAATCTTTCTTCATATGGACCCGCCCACTTGCTCAATAAGAAAAGCTATGGAACAGTAAGTCGGGGGTCGCTCGTTCCATGCTAGGGCGTAGCGTTATTTCTCCATGACAACTGATGTCGGGTATTAGGTCCAGTAGTCATTTGTCAGTCACTACTGATTCAGAAATCATGTTGGTGTTAGAAGTAGCGTTGAAAATTGATTAAGTATTTTGTCATTAAAATATAATATTGGTAGTGACATTAAATAGTATAAAATACTGTATGTATTTCTGTCATCTAAGAGAATGACTGCAGAGAGGAAGAGGAGAGTGTTACGTATGATAAAACCTTTATGTGATTGCATTAACATTAACATATGCGCGCATGAATTCGCCGTGGGTGTACATGTGCGAGCGCGCGCGTATGTTTTAAAAAAAAGGAATGGAAAAAAATAATAAAGCACTTGATGTGTTGCTTCATATGTACGTTTATTGTTAACTGTTGACATATACTATTGACAGTTCTTATTCTTTAAGGATAGGGGAACATTTTAATTTCATGCTGTATAAATGTTGCTTTAAATGTTATATAAACATAAACAGATGTTGCAATTAAACAATTTCACACAACGTAAGTCGAAGTAGATTAATTATTCGTCATCACAAGATTTGGTAGTACAGGCAACTTGTCCGTCTGTTTGACATGTACATGTATTACAGCCGTCTTTAGAAGGAAATTGTGCCCCCGGGTCATATCCTTCACCATTATACTCACAGGCTAAAATAAATTAATAAATATGTAATAAATATGAAAAAATCGTGAATTTTTTAAGAATAAAAAAATATGTTTATGAATATTTTCAATAAATACTGCTGTTTATGTCAATTTTATAGAAGTATTTATTTGCAAAATAAACCTTAGTAAAAAAATGAAATCGTAATAGAAAAAATAAACAACTAAATCTACAAACAAAAGGAAAGACAACAACATATTAATGTAATAGTATATAAACAACAAACTATTTTTCTGATTTGTTTAGGTTGTGTAATATGTGGTATAAGGACATAAGTTGTCTTATGGCGACTTCCCAGATTTTCCAGCTTTAGTGTTGGAGATAGACCTCAGGTGCCTGTCCGTGCATTATTTCAGGCACGAACGGGGACCTGGGTAGAACCACTGACGTTCCGTTACCTAGCCGGATTAATTCCTCACTTAAGAACGAATCTAAAATCCCTGGGATTCGAATGTACAGCGGTAAGGTGCAAGGGATTTGACGACAACGACGTTAAGGCACTTGACCACGGACGCCCTTCTGGTGTATAAGTACATTTAATGTTTGCTTAAAAACATGGACGCCCCTCTAATGTATAAATATATTTGAGATTGCTTAAAACCACGGACACCCCTCTGATGTATTTGTCCTTTTTAGTATGCTTAAAACCTATATTTCAAATTTTGTTTAGAATAGTTCCTCAAATAGTTCAATATGACATACATAACAGTCAAAAGATTACCTTCTTCCGCCGAAGCTTCATTCATGCTTATTGCTAAAACACAAGCCAAGAGAAGAAATCCGAATTTAACGCACTTCATGATTACCTGCAAGAGTAACGGTTCTTTCATCATAAAATAAATTAAAGTGACATGTGCCCATCAAAGTGTAAATTGTGTGTACAAAAGTAAAAGTTCAAAATATATTTTACATTTTTTTTCCAAAATTCTATTTAATTTTCCATTTTGTAATGAAAAAATAATCAATGTCCTAAATTACCAACTGAAATTTTAATAAATATTGTACGGAATGTATTGGTGACGTTTCATTTTAAAAAGAATTGGGCATTTTTTAATTGTTTTGATTATGGATAAAACATGATTCTAATTATTAACCGATTAATCATTTATACATGTATATCTTCTAACAAGTTTAATTGACAAACATGTTATAAGGCGAAAGGCAACAGAATAATTATTTCTTGAATAAAAAATCATTAACCATTGTGTACTATGTCTATATAAAAACTTTGAATTAAAGCAGCATGCCTCCAGATTCGTTATAATTTTCAAGAAAATTTCAAAAAATTATTTAAAAGTAAAATATTGTGAAGTGAACAAAAACAAAATATAAATCATTTACACATTGAAACACCACTTGTTATCTGTGTAAATCAATAAACAGATGCCTAAATAAACAAAAATAACCCTTACTGTGTTAGTACCGCAGTTGAGATATGGTGATAAAATTCAAAAAATCGGTCCTTAATCGCCAAAATATATGCATTATTACTTGAATCTTAAATTCTTTTACTTTTTGTAAAGTCATTTTTCTGGAAATACTTTGCTCATCTAGAGACATCTAGCTTTCAAATAAAAAACGATTCTATATAATCATAAACTTACCCTGTGCTGTTGCTAAATTCAGTATAAAATTGACAACAGACCGACAAAGAACATTTTACTTTTATACTTACTTTATCCTGCAACAGGTTGCTGTAAATTGATAAACCATCAATTAGTTGTTTAAAATGACCCATCCGTCATGCCACAAACATGTGTCGGCACAATTTGTGTGAGGTCAAAAGTCCAAAGTTTATGGAAACGTTATTTATTCCTTAAAAATACATGTTTATGTGGAAAAGTTACGCTACTGACCCGAAGGCAGAATCAATCTCTCATTTCTGCGGATAATATAGCATTAAAAAAATAAATAAACTAAATAAACTAAACAAACAAAAACAGATATCAGAGAGCCGATGCTGTTAGATGACCTGTAAAAATCAAAATCTATCGGTATATGTTGAACATTTCTTTTTAACTGATTGCAAATTTATTCAAGATATTGTACGAAAATCATGAAATATCCGCCGAAGCCTTTTCTCAACGTATGGAATTTTTGAAGGAATTTCTATTACCTAAAAAATAAAACAATGTTATTAAATATATGGTATTACTATGTAAATAATTTGAGCCGCGTCACGACAAAACCAACATAATGGGTTTGCGACAAGCATGGATCCAGACCAGCCTGCGCATCCGCGCAGTCCGGTCAGGATCCATGCTGTTCGCTATCAGTGTCTCTACTTGTTATAGACTTTGTAAGCGAACAGCTTGGATCCTGATCAGACTGCGCGGATGCGCAGGCTGGTCTGGATCCATGCTGGTCGCAAACCCATTATGTTGGTTTTGTCGTGAGGCGGCTCAATTTTATTCAACGTTGTTTATTTTAATGTTATTTATTCTAAACACGATTATAATGTTAATGACAAGTCTCATCTTTTACTTTAAACATTATTTGTTACAATAAGATCCTGAAATGAGCTTTTGACGTATATGAACCTTTTTCGACGCCACTGTCTGCAACTAACCAGGTACTTTTATTACATTTACATTTTAAATAAAAAAAGCGTATTTTATTTGATAATTAAACTGTATTGCATATGTCCAAATGGTAGCTATTTCTTTTAAAACCATTGATATTTTCAAATATAATTAAAATACAAAACACATATAGAAACGCTTGTTTATTACTTTATTTCTGGATTACATTGAAACACACCTTTTCCAAACATCAGCATTCTGAAAGTAAAAAAAAAATGTAATAAGTAGTTTTAATATATAACCATTTAAGTAAAAGTGTATAAAATCTAAATTGCCATATGTGTATTGTATTCTATGGTCTAACTTTATCACAGTACATACAAATTTCTACGTCACATGAATAAGCAAATTGTCTGTGCTTATTTAATCTCAAAATACTTTTGAAGAAAATAATCCACTAGAAGCATTAGAAGCAATTTTCATTTCGTGAAAATATATATGTATAATTACTGAAAGGTCTTGTCCCAAGGGCTGTTGTGGCCAAGTATGAAGACAATACACACAGAGCTTAAAAAGTTATGATCATGGTACAAGTTTGCAGACGGCAACGCCGATATGACGGTAACAATACCTCTATTTTTTATTTATTTTCTATTCATTTATTTAAATTTCTTTAAAGCCGAGCTAAAAAGAGTGGCTGGTATATGTGGATAAAGAAGAACTTACAGACAGGTACAATATTTAATCCCGTGCATTGCCAGTCTGTGTGAGAGTCGTTTGGGTTTTCTTCCTCGACCCAAACGCACGTGCATATCCTTTCAAATCCCAGAGAATCATCGGTCCTTCCATCCAAAAGATAATATTCCTCACCATCAAATTCACATTCTGTAAAGGGAACAATGCATTGTTATCATATATTGTATTAACTTAATTGTGTCGTAAGCTATTGATAAAATATTTATTTATATTATTTTATATTATTAATCTATTTATATTCATTCATTTATAAAATTTATGTTATAGAGAGGAACAAATATAATAATAATAATAACAATAATTATTATCATTATTATTATTATTATAATCATTATTATTATTATTATTATGATAATGATGATGATGATGATGATGATGATGATGATGATGATGATGATGATGATGATGATGATGATGATAATATTTTTATTTAAAAAAGATCAAATATGAAGATAAACCATCGTAAAAATAACAAATAATATATCTCAATTTTAATGTGGCCTTTTAAACAATACATTAAATCACGCATACAAACATACAAACAACATCATCAAATAATAACAACTTTTTCATTGTGCCAATAAAGATTTGGTCCTATAACAAACATAACTGCAGGCACTGCTATTATTGTCCAGAATTCCAATTCCAAAATTCAAGAAAAATCCGTAAATCTTCAAGAAGCTGACAATTTTTCACAATGGTATAGGTTTAACTTACTTGTCAACTTGATGCCACAATATTATGCTATAGTGTATAGATGTCTGAGAACAAAGTGCTTATCCTCAAAATCAGTCTGTGTTCGCTTTATCAAATTCACGAGGAATAAAATATTTGTTTGCACCGGTACTTTTGATTTTAACGAATAGAAATACTGTACAGACACGTATATTGCTGGTATTATATCACATGTTCTGACTGTGCGATATTGGTGTATTTAAATGGCATAAGCAAATGATGAATAAAATGTACAAGAGCAATCGTTTATAATTATTTTCTTTTACATTCATTATGTTATATTATCTCGCCAAATGAAATCAACCTGCCTATTAAATTTTTTGATACGATTGATTTTTAAGATCTATATAAATAATATTCTATTTTACATCATAAAGCTCACACCATACTAGATTTTTTGTATTTTATACCTGTATATACCTTTAAAATTGAACATAAAACCAAAAGCGATGACATGAATTTCATAAACAGCTCTTTTACATTTTAAAGCAGGGTCTGCAAAAACTTGAAGAGTACTCTACAGTTTAAAGTTTTAAATAAAGTATATTTCAAAAAATTTTCTTAGATAAGACAATTCATTGCAAAACAAATAGTGGAATTCATTTCCAATACCTAGGGAGCTGTTACAAAGTGTTCATTTACGACAATTCAAATATATATCATTCATACTTCCGGTTTCTACAAATAGTCTGCTGTTTCTTGTTCTAAACTTAACTAAATATCTTAGTAAGGATTTTGATGTATTTATTAAAAATGGTTCGAAATGGATTTGTAGTTTTTACATTTACTCCATTCGTTTGCTCTACAATACCAGTATAGATACTGTTTACTTACTTGGATCATGTACAGACATCGTTTACTTACTTGGCTCATGTACAGACACTGTTAGCTTACTTGGATCATACACAGACATCGTCTACGATCTTAGTTCAAGTACAGGCACTATTAGCTTACTTGGATCATGTACAGACACTGATAGCTTACTTGGATCATATACAAACATCGTTTGCTTACTTGGATCATGTACAGACATCGTTTACTTACTTGGATCATGTACAGACATCGTTTACTTACTTTGATCATGTACAGACACTGTTTACTTACTTGGATCATGTACAGACATCGTTTACTTACTTGGATCATGTACAGACACTGTTTACTTACTTGGATCATGTACAGACATCGTTTACTTACTTGGATCATGTACAGACATCGTTTACTTACTTGGATCATGAACAGACATCGTTTACTTACTATGATCATGTACAGACACTGTTAGCTTACTTGGATCATGTACAAACATCGTTTGCTTACTTGGGTCATGTACAGACATCGTTTACTTACTACATGTACTATGATTATGTACAGACGCTGTTTACTTACTTAGATCATGTACAGACATCGTTTATTTACTTGGATCATATACAGACATCGTTTACTTACTTGGATCATGTACAGACATCGTTTACTAACTATGATCATGTACAGACACTGTTAGCTTACTTGGATCATGCACAGACATCGTTTACTTACATTGATCATGTACATACACTGTTAGTTTACTTGGATCATGAACAGACATCGTTTACTTACTATGATCATGTGCAGACACTGTTAGCTTACTTTGATCATGTGCAGACATCGTTTACTTACTTGGATCATGTACAGACACTGTTAGCTTACTTGGATCATGTACAGACATCGTTTTCTTACTTGGATCATGTACAGACACTGTTAGCTTACTTGGATCATGTTCAGACATCGTTTTCTTACTTGGATCATGTACAGACACTGTTAGCTTACTTGGATCATGTACAGACACTGTTAGCTTACTTGGAGCATGTTCAGACATCGTTTACTTACTTGGATCAAGTACTGTTAGCGTACTTGGTTCTTCTACAGACTTCGAATGCACAGCAATGCAAAAGGTAACCAGCAATATCGCAACGATACGTGTATGCATTTTTTTCTGAAATAGAAATCTACATATTCAGTACAAAAATACATAACATACTAAAAATACTAAATACTAAAAAGCTATTTCTTTGGTTAAACGAGACATGCAATAGTTGAGGACAATAAATATATACATATAAATAAATGATACCAAGCAGCGGTATCTTATGCGAGTAATACATTTGATTTGAAATACGTTGTTGTAGAACACAAAACACCATTTTATCAACAAGTCCAAAACTAACTATCGTGTATTCAATGATAAAAGTAATGATTTGTAATAGAAAAAAAGAAGAGGAAAAAAGAAACATTTGTTTATTATATAGTGACTTACGATGCCTAAATACAGTACTTACAAATATATAACAAACACAAAACAGGCAATAACCCTATATAAATCTATATACATATAGATGTATATTATAGCTTAACTTCATGAACTCGTATATGAATGGTTAAAACAGATTCTAATATCACACCTACCTTAACTTGTTATTATAATGCACAATATGCAATCATGAGTATGATAGTTAACTTGAAAATAAAAGTAAGAAATATCTTTAAAAACAAATATGTATTTCTATAAATGGCGTCACGTCTTATTGATCTAAAGTATTTTTGCAATATTTCATACGTGATTTGTGATAAGAAGAGTAATTTGCCATCATTGTTAAATCCA